TGTCCTACTGGCTATCAGATATATAGCTCCCTAGACCTTTTGCCACCCTTGAAACAATCCATTTTGTGATATTAGTGCCTAATAATATTCTTCATTTGGTTTCATTATTAACGAAACGCAACGTTGGCAATTAAGACGAGAAGCATTTGTAACTTTATTAATGAGAATCTATATGCATCTTATATACGAAAAGATCTAACATGAACTTAAAAGTTCAAATTTTTTTACTCAAGTTGATGATTCCCATCTTTTACATATATATATGTACGAAGGTGACATTCTCATTTGCATATTTACAAAGTTGGTTTTGGTTTTGTGAATTTATTTCTTTAGATGCTATAGTTTGGTTAATAATATCGAGTATCGTATGGCAGGCCATTGTTTGCTGGAAGTTTTCTTAGTATTATACACATTTTTCTGGAGCAGACAAGACATGATGATATGCGTATTGTTGGTTGTCAAGCCCTCTTTGACTTCATAAATAACCAGGTACAGTTCATCTTCTCCTTGATATTCCCAAATCTGCACCTATATGACTTGGCTGATGTGATATTTTTATTTGTTTAGAGGGATAGTACCTATACGTTTAACTTGGAAGGCTTGGTTCCGAAACTGTGTCTGATAGCTCAAGAGATTGGGGATGATGAAAGAGCACTGCGTCTACGTTGTGCTGGGCTTCAAGCACTCTCTTCAACTGTAAGCAGAATTTGTGTATTTTCTGCATCCAGTTCATTTGTATTTTCTTCTTTTTTCATTAGCCCTTTCCTAACCGTTTTATATATACGTCGATCACGAGCTAGAATCAACCAAAGGTTATCATCTCCTGACCCATCTTGCCTCAACCTCTGTGGAAAATAGATCTGCCTACCTCTCTGCATTCAGTAATTTATTTGGCCTTCCGCAGAATTGCCATGATCTATGGCAAACCATGTAAAAATATCACATGAATAGCAAATTATGACGAGTAATAGCTTTTGCTCATGCTCCAATTTTCTTTGTACGTTCAGATACTTTATTTTTTTTTTCTCATAAAACTAATTAGTTATTAGCTCTGTAAAGTATTATTCTGTCGGCATTCTGAATGCTTTGCTGAAGGGATCTTCAAAAGTTTTTCCTCAGTGGTTGGCTATATTTTTAGGGATATTTGTAATTGAGAAAGGTTCTGGGAATTTTCTATTGAAAAATTGCGTCCAATCTTCTTCTGTGCAATGTTAATTGAATTGTTTGGTCATTCTTATATGTGATATTACGTCCTACTACATATGTTTCTGATTCTTCTTTCAGCTAAATAAAATCAAGTTTTATCTCAATTTTTATGTTGAATGGACAGATTTGGTTCATGGGTGAATTCTGTCACATCTCAACTGACTTTGGAAATGTAAGTATTTACTACGTAAATTTTTGTTAATTGCTAATTTCATAAATGATGGCCTTCCTGATGTTTGTGTACACGTCTAGAACTTATGATGTATATTTCATTGTTTAGATAAGTTGCCTTGTGTTTTTTACTCTAGATATGCTTAGCCATAAGATTGAACATTTTTTAAACTCCTATCCCAGGTTCTTTTTGGGTTTACGTGGCATCATAAATATTAGTTAGAAGTGGTTGATTAGTCCATTTTTCATGGAAAATAGGTACCACTTGGAAATTTGAGTTTTTCTTAATGGATGGTTCAAGATATTGGATATATACTGTTGCTAAATTTGGCTCTCTATTTATTGCCTCCAATGTTCTTTCTAGGCTGTTAGGCTTGCATTTGATGGCTGTTCTCTCCCCATCTTGTTATAAGGCATCTTTTAAACTTTGTTGATCTATAATTTTCTGTTTATCAAAAGATCAGGTTGTCGCTGCTATACTGGAAAATTGTCAAGACCCTAATAAGGATATCAGTTATCCAACTAGCAGTAATCAGGTGACCGAGAAAAATTGTGGTCAAATACAGCATGCTGAAAACCAAATTCCTTTATCATCCGATATCATGAACAGGGCAATTTCATGGAGGAAGGTTGTCTATGAGAGAGACTATTATACCACGTAAATCCTATTTCCAGGCCTTCACATCAGTAGTCGGGCTTTAAACGCCTTTTTTTTGTTTGTCATTCTTATTGGTTCTTTTCCTGTAAACAGAACGGATACTGGAAGACCTGAATTCTGGTCAAAAGTTTGCTTGCATAACATGGCAAAGTTGTCTCGAGAGGCTACGACTGTGCGGCGAGTTCTTGATGCCCTGTTCTGTTACTTTGACAAGGGGAATCTGTGGTCTTCTGATCAGGGTCTTGCCCTTCCAGTGCTTTTGGACATGCAATCTATAGTGGAAAATTCAGGTCTTTTAGCTCTTTCCTTGAAGTGCTTAATTTATAGTGGAAAATTGAGGTCTTTATGCTTACCTCTGATAATCTTATGCATTTCTGAATTCTAAGATCAGTTTATGTGGTTTAATGACATTGCAGGGCACAATACTCACTTCTTGCTATCTTCTGTAATCAAGCATCTTGATCATAAGAATGTACTGAGGAATCCGAATATGCAGATAGATATTGTTCAAGTTGCAATCTCCCTGACTCGATTAACAAAGGCCCAGCCATCTGTGACAATAATTGGTGCATTCAGTGATATGATGAGACATCTGCGGAAGAGCATACATTGCTCTATGAATGACTCGGAACTTGGAGAGGAAATAATTAAATGGAATCGGAAGTTCCACAGTGTCATTGATGAGTGCCTAGTTCAATTGTCGTACAAGGTTATACTTCCACCTTTACAGTGACTATAATACCAGTATGGTGACTGCAGGTTATTACTTTATGACACATGTTGTAACCAACAGAAACCCAATTGCTAATAACTTGCACACGCACATTTCTTACAATGACATTGTAATTATTATTATTATTTAATGATGATTGGAGAAAAGTTTAAGTAAAATTTCTCTTGAACACAGGTTGGAGATGCTGGGCCTATCCTAGATGTAATGGCTGTGATGTTGGAGACAATTTCAAATATAACGGTCATGGCTAGAAATACTATTGCAGCTGTCTATCGCGCGGCACAGATTGTTGCATTCTTGCCGAATCTGTTGTACCAGAACAAGGTATGCCTCTTCCCTTGGTTGGAAATTTATTAACTTTATTTTGAATCATTCTATTTATAATTCTTTTATTGCTAGGCTTTCCCTGAAGCATTATTTCATCAAATACTTCTGGCCATGGTCACTCCGGATCATGAAACAAGGCTTGGAGCCCATCGCATATTTTCCGTTGTACTTGTTCCCTCGTCTGTTTGCCCCTATACGGCCTCCTCCTGTCAAAACCATGCCGATTTACAGAGGACGCTTTCTAGATCGGCTTCCGTATTTTCTTCCTCAGCTGCCCTATTTGACAAATTAAGAAAGGAACATTTTTCACCGCGAAAAGTTGCAGATCAAGCTGATGAAGTCAAAACGGACCAAGACCAATCCTTGCTGACACGGCTAGCATCCAGCTACAGTCGAAAGGTTACCTTCCAACGGCATTCCCTTCCTCCAACTTTGTGTAACGTGGAGACTGAACTGGTACTTTCAAGTCATTTCAGTATGGCTTTGAACTTTTTATAAAGTAGAGTTGCTTTTTTTTTTACACTTGTGAAGATGATATGGATTTTCTGCAGAAGGGAATATCGCTCAAATTGAAAACCCGGCAAATTAGTCTCTTGCTTTCTTCAATCTGGGTGCAGGCCATCTCTAATTTGAACTCTCCTGCAAATTATGAAGCAATTGCAAATACTTACAGCTTGGTGGTGTTATTTTCACGAAACAAGGTAACAGCCTCAACATACTTTTTTTTGTGAGTGTTCAACTCTAGGGCCAGGTTGGACACTCTCATATTTCTTGCTTTTCCATACATGATGAGTCCAAGATTGCCCACTTCGCGATAATTTTGGCACTTCTTTTCATGCTAAGAGTAATTTAGTTGTATCAGCTCGATGATTGTTTGAGCTATAGTTTTGTTTCATAACCGGATTAGTGTCACTGTTAAATAGTGGGTCCAAAGGCTAGTATATATAATTAAACAGATATTTATAACAATTTTCTTTTATATGAGATGCTATCGTGGTAAGTTTATAGAATCGATATTATGTTACATTTAAAAGCTAAAAAGGTGAAAAATATAACTAATAAGTATCTAAGAAAACACAATTTATTCAATGAATATATAGAAAAAAAGTACTGTAAACCTTAATCTTCCAAAAAGTTGTGGTAATAATTGTAAAATGGATTATTTTTTTACTTTTTTTAGCACATTATTTGATCATTAATCAGACCTGACAGACCACTGCTTGAGGCTGAATTTTCTGGACTGGCCGTTTTGCACTGAAATGATCATATCCTACATATTCATATTTGTTTGAGTTGTACTCATTTTGTACTTATGTACCACTAATGTTTTCCATTTGTCCTTTTGTGATGGTATATTACTTAACAGAACTGAGGCCTCTTTCCTTTATGATGTTTTCAACTTGCTTCTGTTTCTATAATCCTTATAAGTAATGCTCTGATTAACGATCTTATTTCTCGTGCTGTTATTTGCAGTATTTGTTTTCACCTGAACCACTCATATAAAGTAACTTACACATTTTTCACCATTTGTTTGTTCCTTTGTTCACAGAAATCTAGTAATGATGTTCTCATTCGAAGTTTTCAGCTTGCATTTTCCTTAAGGAGCATCTCTTTGAGAGGAGGTTTGTGGGTGAAATTTAAATGTTTTATGTTATTTATGCTAGTGAAAACATTTGTTTGAGAGGGTTAGGTGATTAATATCAAATCGTGTATGCACTGGTTTTCATTCGGTTTTTAGCCTTGTCTTCAGACACTAGCTACAGGAATGATGTTATTTATGCTAGTGAAAACATTTGTTTGAGAGGGTTACGTGATTAAGATCAAACTACAGTTAAATATTTCCCAAGCATATATAAAACCTGCGAGCAAAATTATTTTGTCAAGGTTTATGATTTTTGGTTATTTTCAGAACATCAGATTAGGCAACTATATTATAGTATTTACTCAATAGTTTCTTGATTCGTAAATATTAAATAGATGATTTTGCATGTCTTTGTAGGCCCACTTCAACCATCTCGTCGAAGGTCCCTTTTCACATTGGCTACATCTATGATCCTTTTCTTATCAACAGCATATGACTTTCTTCCTCTCGCAGCCTCTGCCAAGGCAGCCTTAAGAGATGAAATAGTAGGTTCAAGCAGAACTAGTTTGTTACCTATTTTCCACTAATGCCTCTCTGTTCATTCAATAACTCCATGATATTACCAAAAATTTTGAAGTGTTACTGCTGCATTATCTAACTAAAGATCTTCAACAGGTAGATCCTTTTCTCCGCCTGGTAGATGATTCCAAGCTACAGGCAGTTGATCATAAAGCAAGCCTAGACAAAAGGGTCGAAGTCTATGGATCAAAAGAAGATGATGAAGATGCATTGAAGACATTATCTGCAATAAATATCTCCGAGGAGCAATCCACAGAATCTTTTGTTTCCATGGTTTTGAAGAATTTGGGGAAACTATCTGATGTAATACTTTCAACTGGTTGTGTTCTATGTAATTTAATCCTACTTGTTGTTTGGTTACTTCTTTTACATGTTTTTACGGTGAATGTGCAGGCTGAGGCATCAAATATTAAGGACGAGTTGCTCAAAGACTTTCTTCCTGATGATGTATGCCCACTGGGAGCTCAACTAGTCATGGAAACTCCTCAAATTTACCACTTTGGTTCAAAAGAACTTTCTGAGGTGGCATTAAATACTGCTTTGATATCTACTTGTCTTCCCTTTTGACGCTATGTCTTTCTAACGCATGTCTATTACACAGAGTGAGCATTCGATATTTTCAGCAAGTGATGATTTCCCAACCGATTCATTTATAAGTCAAACAGATTCTTGCTCCCAGTTGACACTGGACAGTCCCAGTCTACTGAGTGTCGATCAATTTATGGATATGGTATGTCGGAATATTTGTTGTTTTATGTATATGACATATATTCTTGGTTTTTAAAAATTAACTCTAGTTCTTGCATACTTGAGATTGCAAAGCATAACTTATTAACTATACCAAATGATCTTAATTACTAGAAATAATTCTTCAGATTTTTCTAGATGCTGGAGTCCTCGTGATTTCACAGATAATGTCTTGAGCATACTCAAGCTGTTTCTTTAAGCAACTTTTTTTTACCAATGTATAGCAAATTCTGAAACAAAATGAATGAAATCCAAAGATCTGTAAGCTGTATTAGTTTATAAGTAATTTTTGTTGGACACTCGTAAGGGACTGTCCTGTCCCATATGAGCTTTTGCATCACTTCCCAGGTAGTATTAATCTACACACCATACTAAACTATTAGTAATATGGGAAGTATGAAAGACGGTGTAATTATTCCAGGTAACAGAGACAACAAAAGAGGTTGCGCAAAAGTCATCCTTAACCCCTTCGGATATGCCATTTAAGGATATGGCAAGCCAGTGTGAGGCTCTTCAGATAGGAAAGCAGCAAGTGATGTCCAATTTCATGTCTGCATCCTTGATTCAAAACAGCCCAGTTAGCTACTCGGGTCAAGATAACAGCATCCAGCCACAAGATAAGCTTCCGTATTCAAGCTTTCAGCACGGATATCTTACAGTAAGAAGTTTGAATGGGACCTTTATCCATTTACGTTCTTTACTTTTCTTTTTATCCATTTAGCTACTCGGTGTTTTTTGTTTAATCAAAATGAACGGTTCATTAAGACTCTTGCAGAATATTCTTCATAATGGTGGAATTTTTGTCTGTGATGCTTATATTTGATTGAAGCTGTAAAATTCATAAGCTTGGAAGAATTTTTTTACGTCTTGTTTCTTAAGGTGTTTCAATTTTTACCTTTTTACAGTCACCTGGTGCGCCAATGGGGTGTGCAGCCGAATTTCAGTATCATGCCGACTTTTTCCACTTGCCGGCCTCAAGTCCTTATGATAACTTCCTGAAAGCTGCCGGGGGCTAAGATTTCTATACAAGTTCTATTATAGAATCAAAAAACTTCGAGTATTATATTCAATTATCCTATATTTACACAGGCTCAAAAGGTTTCTGGAAAATTCCAGCTAGTTTGGTCCTTTGTGTCCATTTTTTTTTTTTTCCCTTCTCTTTTTGGAGGCTTTTTGGTTTTTCTTATTCCAGTTGATGAGCTCGTGCATATAACTTACATTCAACCTTTTTTCTATTTGTTCTGTGTGATAGCTTTGTAAATTACATGGGCTCGAGACCCACATACAACGATACAGGAGGCCGAAGAACTCGATAATTTATGTAAATCAGAAAGCAAAACAACTGTACTATACAAGGGGAGTTTAAAATTGTAAGTGAATATAGGACTCAGATACAGTGTTAATGTTGCTTTTTTTTGTGTTGGATGTGTCAATGTTGCTTTCTTTATGTAAATCAGAAAGCAAAACAACGATATATTTTTTTTATTATTTATTTTTTCAACCTTTACGATGAAAAGCAATACAATATTAACATATAATATATCTCGTGCATCGCATGAGTATTGATACGGCTGTACACATGAATAACTTTGAATTTATGAAAGAAAAAAGTTTGATCGAAATTCTACTTTGTAGATACTAAGATTTGAATTATCATTTAGCTAACCGGTTTTAAGTTTACTCATTCATTGGACTAAAGCGACTTGATGTGAAATTCTAAGAACAAAGACAACCATTAACAATTCTACCTGACAAAATTGTGAGGAAATTACAATTGGAAAGGTTAAACAAAACGCGTCGCATGAGCTCGGTTGGTTGGTTCTAATCTTGTTAAGGTTTGAAAATAAAAATAAAATATTTATTTTTTTGTGATTCGACTAGTTAATATTAATAAATAAATTGAGTTTGAGCTTATTTATTTAACCAATCGAATTCGAATTGTCTGGATAATGATTCGATCCCGAATACTAGGAGCTCGAGGTCTGATTCGCCGGAATTATTCTGAGGTGTTTTCGGAATTTTTCGAGACTCGGTTTGGCCGGTAAATAGTTCTAAAGAAGAATATCTCCGCTTTTTTAAAAAAATGAATAAAAGGCAAATTAATCTTTTTGAGGAGCGGTATTAAGTAAAAACGGGCGGTAAATAGCGTATCACAACTTGATTTCATGAAGCTACAGAGGAAAGTCCGCAATGTCTAATCATATATTCAATCATATTAAAAAAAATATATATAATTTTGTTATTGAACCGAGCATCTTTACTCCAAGTATATAATAAGAAAACAATATGAGTGAAATAACCAATGGAGGGCTCTACAGTATTATTATTATTATTATTATTATTATTATTATTATTATTATTATTATTATTATTATTATTATTATTATTTATTTTATTTTTAATTTTTCGATCGCTAACATTTCCTTTTCCTTTTAACACAATAGATGGAGGTCAAGGTGAGTAGGCAACTGATTATGTGCATGATAGTAAAAAATACAAAAATCCAATTTATTTATTTATTTTATTTTATTTTTTTTTTTTTCTGGGTAGTGCAGTACTATTAAATAGATCTTAATTATTTACGTAGTCTATATGTAGGATTTTATTCGTAGAAATAATGTGTTAGTATATTTATTTTACACATATTTTGGGAAATTTATGTTAAAAAATACAAATACAAAATAAGTATTCCAATTTCCAAACATAAGATAATGTTGGATCACTGTATCAATGTTGGATCACTGTATCAATAACATAGAGATTTATAAATTAGGAAATGAGTAGCTTAATTAATTATTTATTGAAGTTATAAATGAAAAAAAAAAAACATTGTACTTTAAAAATAATGTAGAGGTCGATGATGTTAAGAGAAGTAGAGGTCGGCCTAGACTCACGTGGGAAAAGTCGGTTCAGAGAGACCTTAAAAATTAGAATATCTCCAAGGATTTAACGGTGGATAGGAGCGCTTTGAGGCTAGCAATCAACGTGTCGGAACTGTGACTTTTGCTCCTTTCTCCTTTGCTCCAATCTCTTCCTTTTGTTTTGTTTTGTTTTGTTTTGTTTTGATCCATTATTGTGTTTTTCTTACCACTGTTTTTCTTGGATTTCATCTCTAATCTACCCCAACTTGTTTGGAATTAAAAGACTTTGTTGTAGTTTTTTTTTTTCCGAAACGATAGGAGATATTATAAATCAAAATGCACAAATGTGCGAATACACAGCAGCCAACGGCTGAATACACAGCAGCCAACAGCTGAAAAGTGGGAGGACAGGTCTGAAGACCGCCTAGAATCCCGGCTAGCAACGCTAGAATAAAAACACTCACAACTAAACTGACCAACCACACAAACCACAAAACAAACTACAAGACCCCAAAAGGGTAATACCCGAGGAATTAAAAGGCTTTGTTGATATTGTGGTTGTTGTTATTGTACTTTCAAATAATATAAAAAATGTCATGTCAAATAATAATAAGAACAAAATAAAGGTGGCAATCATTGGGCCAAAATAGAAAATAGAATATTTAGGGGGTGATTGTGTACAAAATATTTCACCTCAAAAAATTTCAATTCAAAATCTAACTCAACTTTAACTCAACTCCACTATCTTTAATATTATTCATATAATTAAAAAATACAAACCAATCAGTCTTACACATCACATAAACTTTAATTTACTATTCATTCACTCACATAATTTTAACTACCAATCATTTTCAATCATTTATCTCCTACTTTATATCAAATCAATTTTAATTATTTTATTTTAAATATTATTTTAATATATTTTTTAAATCTCACTAATAATTAACCACACTACTTTATCAACATTAACCATAGTTAACTAAAATGAAATATTTTGGTTGAAATAATTTATAAATGTTATGAAATGCGAGCAATATAAAGAACACAATGTATAAAAACCGGAACAATTACAATCTGCTTTCTTTCTTCACTTTTTCGTACTCACTTTACAAAGCTAATGGTCCCTTTTATAGGCAACCTTTAACCCACTAGCACACACTTCAATGCACAAGATAATATTAATATTAATATTAGTGGTAAATTTCACATATTATAACACTCCCCCTTGGAATTACCACTACTAAATGTGCGTTTATGCTGCCTCGTTAAAAACCTTATCTGGAAAAACCCTGTGGGGAAAAACCGAGACAAGGAAAAAAGAGTACAGCCGCACATACTCCCCCTCGAGTTATCATCTGTACAAATCCCGAAGATGCCTCATCCCAATATTGTGCACGTGCTTTCGAAATATTGTCGTCGGAAGCGCCTTTGTAAACAAATCTGCTGCATTATCGCTTGATCGGATGTATTGAACTTTGATTTGTTTGTTTCATTCAAGCTCTTGCGCATATAAGAATAACTTTGGCGGGATATGTTTAGTTCTGTCACTCTTAATGTATCCTTCTTTTGTTTGAGCGACACATGCTGCATTGTCTTCATATATTACCGTCGGGTCATTATTGTTCGATAGTCCACTGGCTTGTTGAATATGTTGAGTCATGTTTCTGAGCCAGATACTTTCCCTAGTTGCTTCATGAAGTGCAATGATCTCAGCA